GAGGCCTGCCAGGTGCCTGGAGGGGGGCCCGGCGGGGGGGGGGGTGGCCTGGCCCCGGCTCTCAGGGTCTTCTGTGAGGGGTGGGGAGCAGGCGGGGGCCCCGCAGCCAAGCTCTCGCGGCTGGAGCCAGAGTCTGCTCGCCTTGGCCACGGCCCTCTTGCACCTGCCCAGGTGTGCCACCCCCCCCACACACGCACCCCCCCACACACACACACACAGGAGTGCCCCGGCCGAGGCGGCTGCCCTCCTTGCCCGGCCTGAGCCACTGGAGTCCCCCGCCCAGCGGCCCAGGAGGGCTGGAACGTTTCCAGGGGGCACCACGGACTTGGCCCGGTGGTGGGCGGCTGATGCTCTTTTTATTTGCGAAACGCAGCAAACAGGGAGAAATACCATCGGGGCTCATAGAGGGCCCTCCCCCCCCGGACCCTTCTCAAATTCAAAGCAAGAAATGAAAAGTCCTTGGGAAGAACTTCCCTGCTCCTGAGCAGAGGCCCCTTGTAGGAAAACAAGCCCTCCGGGTCACCCTCAGGGCAGAGGAGCCCGGAGGCTGCCGTTAACCGGGAAGCAGAGCTGCCGTTGGATGGTCCCAGGACCTCCCTCCGCCCCACCGCCTGGCACAGGGAAAGTGACCCCTGTCCCCTCAGCAGCGGTCCACGAAGCAGAGCCTCATCTCTTCCCCGAGAGCCACCAGCCGTGGCCGCCCGTGGCCGCGTGCCTAAGGACCGCCTGCCTCTCCTCCGGGCTGAAGTGGAGGATGGTGAGGATGGCCGTCAGGGTCTGCTGCCGACCCAGCCAGTCCGTCAAGGTCAGGAAGCGGTAGAAGATGTTCTTGAGGTACTCCAGGTTGGCCCCTTCCCTGCCCTGGTCCCTGGAGCTCTTCTGGAGGCGGCCCTGGAGAGCGGCCTCCTCCTCCCGGTGCCTCTCCCCTTCCTCCAGCAGCCGCTCCCGCAGGTGGTGGACCTCCGCCTCCAGCCGGTGCTTCTCCCGCTTCAGGGCCGCCACCTCCACTTCCTTCCGCGCCAGCTGCTCCGTGTACAGGACGAAGCCGGGCTCCCCGCCGGGGGCTGTCAGGCGCAGGGCCTGGGTGAGGGTCTCCAAGGACTCCTCGGCCCCCGGTGGGTCCTGGCTGCTGCCGCTGCGGCTGCTGGCCGGGGGGCCGGGCCCGAGGGCCTTCTGGGCTCCCTGGCGGCCGGGGGGCAGGGCCACGGTGGTCCTCAGCTGCTCCAGCTCCTGGTCCTTCTCCGCCAGCACGGCCAGCGCTCGGTCCCGCTGCTTGTGCATCTCCTCCTCCACCCGGAGGACCTTCTCCCGGCAGGCCGCCTGGGCCCTCTCCAGCTCTTGCCGGTGGAGCTGCTGGAGGCGGGAGAGCGCCTGCTTCTGGGCCGCCAGCTCCTCCCGGTGCCGCCTCTCCACCTCCTCGCAGGAGAGCCGCAGGGAGACGTGCTTCTCCCGCAGCTCCGCCAGCCGCCCCTGCGCCTCCGCCAGCTCCCGGGCCAGGCTCCCGTCCTTGGCCGACTTGTTCTTCAGGACCACCTGGGCCCTCAGCTTGTACCGCTCAAACTCCTCCTTCAGCTGCTTCAGCTCCTGCTGGAAGGAGGCGGCGGAGGCCTTCTCTCCGTCTCTGGCCTCCATGCCTTGGGGCAGCTCTGGCAGGCAGAAGGCCTCCAGGGCCAGGGGAGGGCACTGGCCGCGCTGGGCCGCCGCCTGCGCCAGCTGCCGCAGCTTCTCCATCTTCTCTCGGAGGACGTTGATATCCAGGTTGCCCTCCTCGGCGGGGAGATCCTCCAGGGGGGAGCAGCCGGAGGCGGCCATGGCCAGCGTCTTGTTCTCAAGGTCCAGCTGGGCAATGCGGTCCTTCAGCTTCTGGATGACCACCTGGTCCTTCTGCTTGGCCTTTTCGTAGGTGCCCAGGAGCTCAGACACCTCGGACATCTGGACCTCCAGGCCGGTTGCTCTTCCATTTGGACCCGCTCCTCTGCCTGAGCGGTCTGAAAAGGACAAAGCAAATGGGCACGGCGTTAGACGGCTCCAGACGGCTCCGTGGGACACAGGCTGCAGTGTGAGACAGGCAACCCACACCAGAAAAAGGCAGCCAGAAAGGGGAAACGTTTTCCATTTGCTACTTTGTTGTGGTCCCCAGAAGCCTCCATGTGAGCATCACCCAATCCACAAAGCTCCACGGACGCTAAGAGTCCTACCCATCAGAACGTCCCGGGGCAGGATTGATGGGGGTTGGGGCAACCCTCCCCCCCCTTCCTGAGGAGTGTAAGCAGAGGTGCCCTGATGGAACCCAGGACCGAGAGAGAAAGAGACCTTGAAGGTGCAGAGTGCCACTGTTGTCAGGAAGGGGGCCTGAAGCACTGAGACGCATTGAGGTGGCCAGAGGTCAGGCTCTAGTCTTGCTGGGAAAATCAAAAACCAGGATGTCTCCAGGTCCCGATGCGATGCACACCCGAGAGTTCTTAGGGAACTCAGATGTGAGACAGTTGATCTACTCACCCACATACGTAACCTATCACTAGATTCAGCTGCTGTACCAAAACCCTGGAGAGTTGCAAATATTAGATCGATTCCCCCCCCCAAAAGGGGAACCAGGAAATTACAAGGCCAGGCAGCCTAACATCTGTCCCAGGCAAATTAGTAGAAATTATAATCAAAGATAGAATTGCTCGGCACACAGAGGGACAAAGCCTGCTGAGGGAAAATCAGCATGGCTTCTGCAAAGGGAAGTCTTGCCTCACCAAACTTTTTGTGTTCTCTGAGAAAGTGAACAACCATGTAGGCAACGGTGACCCAGCAGACATTATATACTTGGACTTTCAAAAGGTGTTCGACAGGTACCTCACCCAAGACTCCTGAGTTAAAGTCAGCAGTCACGGGATAAGAGGATGGGTTCTCTTAGGGATTAAAAATGGGTTAAATGACAGTAAACAAAGAGTAGGAATAAACAGACAGTCCTCGCAATGGAGGGGAGTAAGCAGTGGGGTTTCCCACAAGGATCAGTATTGAGGCCAGTAGTATGTACTTTATTCATAAATGATCTGGAACGAGGGGTGAGTAGCGCAGTGGCCAAGTTTGGAGATGACACAAAACTAGTCAGGATGATGAAAACCAAGGCTGACTGTGGAGAGCTCCAAGAGGCTCTCCACAAATTGGGTGAGTGGAGGAGGAGGAGATTGGATTTATACCCCGCCCTTAGTCTCAGAGCAGCTGACAAACTCCTTTTCCTTCCCCTCCCCACAACAGACACCCTGTGAGGTGGGTGGGGCTGAGAGAGCTCTGACAGAAACTGCTCTTTTTCAAGGACAGCTGTGCCAGAGCTTGTGACTGACTCAAGGTCATCCAGTCAGGTGCAAGTGGAGGAGTGGGAAATCAAACCCAGTTCTCCCAGATTAGAGTCCGCACACTTAACCACTACACCAAAGTGGGCGACGATGTGGCAAAGGAAGTTCAGTGTTGGTGAAGTGTGAGGTGATGCACACTGGGATAAAAACATCCCAACTTCAAATACAGCCTAATGGGGTCTGAACTTCCTCAGACTGAGAGGGGAATAGATCCTGGGGTCGTGGCAGAGAGTTCAATGCAAACATTGACCCACAGTGTGATCCTCTGTAGAGTTACTCCAGTCTAAACTCATTCAATTAAATTAGCTCGGTAATTGCACTGTCGGTACACGGCAGTCGTGGAAAAGGGCAAACTCCATGCTGGCACTTATTAGGAAAGAGACTGAAAATCAAAAGGGCCTCTATACAGATCTATGGTGTGGCCCCATTCGGAGCACTGTGTGGAGTTCACCGTATCTCCAAGAGGACATTGCGGAGCTTGAAAAAGTACAGAAGAGGGCAACCAAGACGATTAAGAGGTGTTGGAGCCCCTTCCCTAGGAGGAAAGGCTGAAGAGTCCAGAACTTTTCAGTTTAGAAAAGCAACCACTAATGAGGGACATGATAAGAGGTTTATCAAATTACCCGCTGGTTAGAGAGGGGAGAGAAGAAACTTTTTGTGTGTGTACAGGACAAACAAAATGAAGTACTTCTTTACTCAAAGAGTGATTAAAATATGGAATTTTGCCATCACATCGATGTACTGATGGCTACCAGCACAGATGGCTTTAAAAGGGGAGGGGATTAGAAACATTCATGGAGTAGAGGTCTATCAGTGGCTACAAGCCACGCTGATTAAAGCGGGCCTCCACGTTCAGAGGTAGTTAAGCTCCGAACCCCAGTGCCAGGAGGCAACGTCAGGGGAAGGCCTCTATCTCTCTGCGTTGTTGTTGGCCCTCCAGAGGAACTGGTTGGCTGCTCTGTGAGACGGGGATGCTGGACTCAATGGATCCTCCCTGGTCTGGTCCAGCAGGGCTCAGCGGAAGCAAATGTTCACTCTGCCTGGGGCAGCAGGGGAAAAGGCCAGCTCCACACTGGGGATTATTTTTAAGGAAGCCATTGAAAACAAAAGTTCCAGCATCAGACGCCATTCGCTAGCCCACTGGGACAGTCAAGGTCAAGGAATGACCGGACTCTGCTTAGAACCCCACGGACCTCAGGGTCAACCTCACTGAGCCTCCCCACCACCACCACCCCCCAAGAGCAGAAAAGGAAACGGTCTGGAAACGAAGCCTGACAGAGGCAGGAAAAGGTCCCCCAGGCAGCCCCAGGAGGTTTCTGGTAACCCCCTCCCTCACCCCAGGGCCCCAGCAGCACCTTTCTCATCTCCTGCAGCAGCTGGGCTTGGAAGTGGCTCTTGAGGGCAGACATCTCGGCCTGCAGCTCCTGCCGCTGGGGGTCGGGGCGGCTGCTCTCCTCTTGGGCGGCCCGCAGGGCCCTCCTCAGGTCCTCCACTTCCTGGGCCAGCTGCCTGGCTTGGCGCTCGTGGCCTTCCGCCTGGTCGGCCACCCCCGCCTTCCCGGCCAGCGCCTCCCTGGCCTCCTCCAGGCTGAGCTCGGCCTCCTGCCGCTGGGCCCTCTCGCTCTGCAGCAACCTCTGCAGCTCCCGCAGCATGACGGCGTGGTCGCTCTGCTCCTGGGCCCGGTCGTGCTGCTGCGTGATCAGGCGGGCCTTGGTCTCCGCCAGCTGCTCCTGGGCCCCCCTCAGCTCACTCTCCAGGCAGCTGCGCTCCTCGCGGCCCTTCCGGCCCAGCTCCTCCAGCTCCTGCTTCATCTTCTTCTTGTCGGCCAGGTAGGACGCCTCCATGCGGGACTTCTCCTGGGCGACGGTGGCCAGGGCGCTCGTGACGGTGGCCAGCTGCGTCTTCAGCTGGAGGACCCGGCGGTGGTCTGCCTCCCCGGCCTCCCCGCTGCTGCCGCCGCCAGAACTGACGCCGCTCTCCGAGCTGCCGGTCTCCTCCGTTTTGGGGGGGGGAGAGGCCGGGCCAGCGGCCCTCTCCTCCTCCTCCGGGCCCAGGAGGTCTCCCTTGGCGCTGGCCAGGCTGGCCGCCGTCCCAGCGCTATCCTCGCTGTGCACAGACGTCCGGTCGTCACTGGGGTCCGGGCTGGAGCCAGCCAGCCCCCGAGGAGGAGAATAGGCCCCACTCTGGCTCGCATCCACCTGCTGGGAGACCGAGAGGACTTTCAGGCTGGCCTCCAGGGCTTCCTTCTCGGCGAGGAGGCTCTTGTAGGCCCGCACCACGTCCTTCAGCCGTGCCTGGTACTGGGCCAGCTGCTTCCTTTGCGCCTCCACCGTCTCCAGGAGGTCTTTCTTGCTGGGGCCACCCCCAAAGTTCACGCCAAACTTCTCCATGGCTCCTCCTGGGACTCTCGGCGGCCCTGCAAGGGGAACAAGAGAAGGGGCGTCACCTCAGGCGCACTGCAGGAGGTGCCGGCCAGCAGCAGGGCACCTCCCCCAGCTACCGTGGGGCTTCTGGGGGCTCCACCCCCCCTTTCTTAAAGGCACAACTCCACAAGAATTTCTCCTGTAAATGCTTTTTTCAATCATTTTAAAACATTTTTAATAGGTGTGCGCCCCTTTAAACAGAGTGGGGGGGCTGTAGCTGACTAATTCCCCGCACTGAGCAAGGGGGGTTGGAGTAGGTGACCTCTAGGATGCCTTCTAACTCCATGTCCAAACTGGTCTCCTTTAAGAGGTTTTTTCTGCCTAGGGGTTAGCTTTCTTGGCCTTAGAAGTCACCCCCCCCCCCCCCACCTGCCGGCTTGTCATCAGACTTGTTTCTTAGGCTGGCAAAAGGGATCCACTTGCAGCAGCTGAGAACTGTCCTCCAAAGTGGCTGACAGCTTGCAGTTTTTAGCGATCTCTCCTGGCAGCCACTTTCTCTGGGCCCAATGGCTAAGAACACCCATGTAGGACAGGGCGCTTGAGGAGGCTCAGAGAGGCTGCCTCGAAGCCCTCTCTCCCAGCCCACCCTGCTGCTGCTGCTCTGCTCTTAGAGGCTCTGCTCCCCAGGAAGGCCAGTTGCGAGGCCAGAGCTACGGGCCTGGCGGGGAGAGTAGTGAGCAGAAGAGCCAGGGGGGGGGGGGCTTTTTTCTTGGCTTTGGCTTGCCTTCCTTGCTGAGCTGTC